AGTGACTCACACCCATAATTCTAGCACTTTGGGAGGCCGAGGCAGGCGGATCGCTTGAGGTCAGGAGTTCTAGACCAGCCTGGCCAACATGGCAAAACCCTCTCTCTACTAAAAATACAACAACAACAACAACAAAAATAGCCAGACGTGGTGGCATGTGCCTGTAGTCCCAGCTACTTGGAAGACTGAGGCATGAGAATCACTTGAACCCACGCAGTGGAGGTTGCAGTGAGCCAAAATCATGCCACCGCACTCCAGCCTGGGTGACAGAGTGATACTCTGTCTCAAACACACACACACACACACACACACACACACCAAAAAACAAAAAAACAAGTACAGGACTCTACCTTATTCTATATCACATATGTCAACTAACTAGTTTATAAGCCTTGGTTTCCCAAGATTTATTTGTAATTGGATGAAAGAAAAGATTTGGGGATACAGGGAAGCAACTTATTTTTTATTTTGTAAAATATACCAAAATGATCCAAACCTGGTTCCCAATGTGAACTGAAAAGAAGATGCCTTTAGCTTTGTGGGGCACAATCCCTTGTCCAGTTCTAACTGCCTTTTTCTCAACACGAACATATGTTTCCCTTAAAATTACTTCTTTTTTCCTACCCTGGTGTTATGCAAGATCCCTGCTTATTTTGGCGATGAAAACAAAATAAGAAGAGCCACCCAGAGTTCTCCATTCCAAAGAGAGGAGCTTCCCAAGAAAAGCAAAGTTTTGCTGTTGTATTTCCTTTCAGCACTGCCGAGAGCAGGAGGCATTCTTCAGTGCGGAAATTCAGTGCAGATGAGGGAGCTGGTCCTGAAACACCTATTAGAACCATGAACAGCAGGTGTGGCAGGGACTATCTATAGGCTATAGGTATGCAATCACTTACTTTTTATTAAAAAAAAAAAAATTGAGGAGCGAGGTGGTTAAATAGACCCAATGCGCAATGAGAGAAGTGCTTTTCAAGCACAAAATATATGGAAAGGAGAGGCTTGGTATTCCAGAGAGAGCTAAAGAGAAACTAAACTCTCAAACTGAGAAAGCAAACCTTGACTTTATTTCTATAATCAAAATCCTCACAAAATTGGCCATAGGTCTCGGTGAAAGCTTTAAAAATTTGGGAAGGGCCAGCATGCTTATGCAAGAAAAACAAAGAGAGGCTTGCATATAGGATATTGGTTTCAATGAGGAAGGGTGAATGCCAAGAACACTATAAGAATTAAGCACTCACATAATAGATCACTATGAGCAAAGCTCTCCTGCAGATGTTGGAGTTGGTGATCTAAGCCTCACACTTGGAAAGGTTGTGTGACTGGAGCCATGATATATAAAGTAAGACGCAAGCGCCAATGTTTTGATTTAGCCAGGCAAACGTGGCTGTTTTTGTTGGGTGGATGAGGCATTTTTTTCACTGAGCAAAGAATTACGGTAAACATCTGCTAACCATGACCACAAAAGAGGTGGTTGTTTTCATTCAAGGTCATTTTAAAGGAATAAATTTAATTAATACAACCACACAGCAGTAGTATCCAACTGTAATAAGTCTGCTTGCTTCTATCCACAGACCTATTCATTAAGAAAGCAGTTAATCGAGAAAATTTCCCAGCGTTGCCATTACAGCTTTTTGAGGACCATGGATAAGACTTTTCTGTCTCAAGGGATGCCTGAAAACCCAAGCAGACTTCACTTCTTATCTCATTCCTTAGGCAGTTGTTTTCCAGAAGGTTCTCTAGCGTTATTAGCAAGACTTTATTATAATACACATCTCTTGCTCTATTAGCAAGACTTTACTATAATACACATATTAAAGCCCCATTAAAAAAACTTAATGAGGCCAAGGCAGGAGGATCACGAGGTCAAGAGATTGAGACCATCCTGGCCAACATGGTGAAACCCTGTCTTTACTAAAAATAGAAAAATTAGCTGGGTGTGGTGGTGCTTGCCTGAGTAGTCCCAGATACTCAGGAGGTTAAGGCAGGAGAATCGCTTGAACCTGGGAGGTGGAGGTTGCAGTGAGCTGAGATCACACCACTGCACTCCAGCCTGAGCGACACAGTGAGACTCCATCTTTAAAAAAAATAAAAAATGTTCTAATGGGTTGTAAGCTTTACCTCACATATAAACATCCCAGGTCACATCTCTCTCTCAAACTGCTTCTTTGAAAGTAACTGTAAGAATTAATAGAATCCAGAATGGTTTGGGTTTTCAAAAATTCCTTATTTGGTTCTTTCTTTAGGAAGGAATGGGGTGGTAGGGAAGCTAGCAGGAGCTGAATTATTCAGGCTGACTGTCATTCAGATCCGTCAAATTACAGCTCAAAACATCACTTTACCTCTGAACAACCAGCCATACCTGCTCCAAAATGAGAGCCACCCATAATTATTATTAAATGTTCCTAATTAAGATAAAATAATGAAATTCATAAAAGACTCCACTTCCATTCTGACTTAAAACTTCTGCATCTACCTTCAATATCAGAAGAGCCTTCTAGATTTAGAAAAGCCAGTTTTGCATAAACTATATGCTACCACAGAATTAAACTAAAGAACTAAAGTTTACTATTTCTGGCCTAGGGTTATGTCAATATCGTCAATCAACAAGATACTAAGTTTGCTAAATGTAAAGAACAGAGTAGGCCAGGCACGGTGGCTCACGCCTGTAATCCCAGCACTTTGGGAGGCCGAGGCGGGCGGATCACCTGAGGTCAGGAGTTTTAAGACCAGCCTGGCCAACATGGTGAAACCCTAACTCTAATAAAAATACAAAAATTAGGGCATGGTAGCATGTGGCTGTAGTCTCAGCTACTTGGGGGGCTTAGGTTGGAGAATTGCTTGAACCCGGGAGGCAGTTTGCACTTGAACTCGGGAGGCAGTTTGCAGTGAGCCAAGATCATGCCACTGCACTCCAGTCCAGGCAACAAGAGGAAAACTCTGTCTCAAAAAAAAAAAAAAAAAAAAAAAAGAACAGAGTTGTCTCTCTCCCACATTCTAAGAATTCCCCTGGATGCCCAAAACCATGGTTAGTACTGAACCCCATGTATATTATGTTTTTTCCTATACATTCATATCTATGAAAAAGTTTAATTTATAAATTAGGCACAGTAAGAGATTAACAATAACAAGCAATATGGGACAATTTTAACAACACTGTAATAGAAGTTATGTGAATGTGGTCTCTCTATTTTACTACACTGTACTCACTTATTTTCAGATCCTCACTGACTGTAGGTAACTAAAACCACAGAAAGTGAAACATGGATAAGGGGAAACTACCATATTTCCTCTCTTTGACTTATCTATTTCTCATGGACTAGAACACAGCAATTCATAAAGGCCACACTTCAGTAAGCTTATTGAAAGAATAAACAGTAAATTCATCAACTCCATTTATTCCAGCAGTTGCAATATCAAACAGGATCCCAAATGTTGGACCAGGCTAAGAGCAGCTTGGAAGCTTGGGAGTGGGAGGCTGTTCGTCTTTCACCTTTTCCACTCACTAGTCTTCAACAAATACCTATTAAACACCTAACAGGTGCTAGTTGCTGTGTTCAGAGTGTGTTTTTGTGTGCACGTGCACGTACATACGTGTGTGGATAAGCGTATGTACACATGGGCATGTGTGTCAATCAGAGGAAGGAGTAAAGGGGGAGGTGTGATCATCTGAATGTTATTGATACTTGACAGAATCTTGAGGGGTAATTAACACAGGTTTTAGGGTTCACCACATCTGGCAAGTCACTCTGTGTTGATTTGTTTGTTTGCCTTCCACAATGCTGTTATGTGCTAAGAAAGGAAAGAAGGTAGGCAGAGATGAACATGGAGGAAACAGCAAGTTTTTGATACCCCAACTTCGCTTAAGAGATGATGAACCATTAGACAAGAGATGGGACTACAGAGGCCCCGCCTATTTAATAACGGTCAATGCCTTCAGCTACAAAACAAAGCCAGCCTACTATGGCCCACTAATTCCGCCCCAACCCAGTCAAGATTCATGTCTATAAGTAACTGCAACATCAGAGGCCACTGTGGTCAGAATCGGAATATAACCATGTACCACTACACTAGCTTATGCTTAAAAAAATGCAACGTATCCATCATATTTGTATAATAAAGGTATTAAATCAGGTATAATTTCCAAGCCTTAAAAGAAAATCCCAAGCTTTTATGTGTATTCCTAGTGAAAGATAATGTGATGAATGTCATAATAAAAAAATAACTTAGTAGGAGGAAATAATTTTTATCCTTTTTAAATTTTCCTTACGAAATGCGGCATTTTAACATAATGCACTTAAACATAGTTACCCATAAATGTAAATCTGTTTTGATAAAATGAAGAGACTTTTAATCCAAATTGCACAGTGATGCTTCTACACTGATCTGTTATAACTTAGTAATCAGAGTTAACAGACTGCCTAATTAACCAAGTCATCATTTGCCAAGATCCAAATATGGGATGAATTGTGGGCCAAGGAGAAAATATGATGGACATGAAAATATATTAATTCAGGGAAGCATTAAAAGCATGTGGAATTCAAGTTTTTTTGATAAATCTCTCATCATCTTTAGTATCTTTAATTTTAAGGTATAAGTAACATGCAAAAATAAAAAAAAAATTCCATCTAGGGCACATGGAAAAACATTTGTATCAACTAGCTAAATGGACATAACTAATTTTTAGGCCTCTGACAACCAATGACGTACAAAATCACAGATACCTTTTGATAACAAGTAATATCGACAGAGGGCTTACTAACAGAAACATATTTGGTATTTCACATGCTCCAGAGGGTTAGTCTCTATATTTCTAACTCTTCAGGAGGTACTATTTTTATCTTCAGGTACCAGATGAGAAAACTGAGGTTGAAAATATTCTGTTGCCCCCAAGAATGTATGAATAAACAAATAATACCTGATCCTTTCAAAATTCTTAGGGAAGTGATTGTTTTTTTTAAAACTTTTATTATTATTATTATTATTATTATTATTTTAAAAATCAGTCTCCGTAGAGACTATCAAAAATTGCCAGTGCCGACCGTATTGCAAGTCGTCATGGTGGGGTATTGGAAAAAGTTTTCAATTAGCAATAATTGCGCCTTGGAAAAACCTCACTGGCTATGATACTGCCACTGCACAAAGCTTAGGGCAGTGATTGTTAAAATTCTGTAATTTAACTCACCAAAATTTTTTCCAAGGAGGTTTCATCCATTCACTTATTACCTATTTACTAACAGCTAGGAGATGGGGGTGGCTTGGAAGATGTCATATGGCTCACCTGTACAAAAATCTTTCATCATCAGGGTATTATTCCCACCACTTTCACTTTCTATATGACCTAAAAGACATGGGCATTTTGACTGCACTATGTTATTTTATAAGCCCATTTTCCTGGGTCATTCAAAAGCAAGTCTCGATGTAACACAGGGTTTAATCCTACTAAGTCCACTAACAAGACCATCTTCCTCTTGGCTACCTGGCAACTGCTATTCATTCCCTAAGACCCTAGTCTGGCACCATTCCTGCTACGAGGCCCTCCAATCTCCGTTCTCCAACCGCCTCCCCAGTCAAAATGCACAATCCGACAGTATTCTTGTAGCTTCTCTATCACCATATTATGATTGACTTTTCTGTCTACCTTGCACATATAAGTATGTTAAAATCAAGCAGCTTGGCTGGGTGCGGTGGGTGGCTCATGCCTGCAATCCTAGCACTTTGGGAGGCCGAGGTGGGTGGATCATGAGGTCAGGAGTTTGAGACTAGCCTGGCCAATAAGATGAAATCCCATCTCTATTAAAAATACAAAAATTAGCCGGGCATGGTGGCATGCGCCTGTAACTTCAGCTACTCAGGAGGCTGAGGCAGAAGAATCGCTTGACCTGGGGGGTAGAAGTTGCAATGAGCTGAGATTGAGCCATGGCACTCCAGCATGGGTGACAGAGTGAGACTATATCTCAAAAAAAAAAAAAAAAAAAAATCAAGCGTCTTGCCTTAGGACCACAAACCGTGGCAGATGGTAGGTGGACGGTTGGAGAGAAGAATGAATAGAAGGCAGAGAGGCAATGAATGAACTCTAGACTCCTCAAGAACAAAGCCCTGGTAGCATTTCTGAGGCACAGCCCAAATGCCACTGGAGATGTCAAGCCTTCGGCAGACAACTTTCTGGGAAAACTCTCATAGATGACATTTAGTTGTGGGTTAGATGAACCATATGATATTTAAAGTTTCCTTCGCCCTGTAATTCTATGTATTTGCTGTACAGCAAGTATAGTACCTGATGTGTACATAAACATTGTTCACTTTCCCAGAATTATGTCCCCTTCTTCTGAAACCAGCCCTCTTTCCACCTACTTTCCAATGTTTTGTGTAGGTCAAAGGCCGTCCATGGCATTAGAGATGGGCACATGACCTAAGGCAAGCAGGACCTCCCACCTGCCCCAATGTACTCCTGCTCCAGCTCCAGCCAGTATTTCAACAAAAGGCATGTGGCACACACCAGACCAATCACTGATGCAGGAAGATCCAGATTCTGTGACAGCTGCTACAACTCTCAAGAAAAGATCTTTTCTGCTGGAGTTGCTACAAAAACAGACTCATGAAAGGTTATCCTGCTACAACCGAGGAAACGCCTCTGTGAACAAATCCAACAGGGAGCACAGCACAGCCAGGAGATCGCCACCAAGACTCAGTGGCATGACCTGAACCTCCTGCTTCAGATGTCTCTGGAGCTGGTTCCACAATCCGACTTTTCAACATTGGGAGCCACTTAATTCCCCTTTATGCCTAAGCTGGTCACTCAGAACCAAAAAGACCTAAAATATGGTGAGCTCAGTATTTTAAGACACCAACAACACATGAGAAGTGGGCTGTCTGCTCTTTGTGTTAACAAGGCAATATGAATACTTCAAACCTCTTAAAAGAAAAATTGGTTATTTGTGGTCCCTTGTAACTGGCATTTATAAATTTTTCCTCGAGCCTAATATTTTACCAATATTTGAAGGTCAAAGTCCTTGGCATACAGCTTATGAACCTATAATGCTACTGACTAAGTAAGTGAAGGTATTCTACTCTGTTAGGCAGTGATACCTTTAAGTACCCCAGATCTTCACCCCGGTAAATAAAAAGCTTTCCAGGAGAAAGCTGCTAAGAACTAAAAGAACATTCTGAACCTGCTTGCTGGGAAAATGCCCAGGTACAGGACTGAAGCTTGGGGAGGGAGACCCTCTCGCTTGCCACACTTTTTCACACAGGTGACTGAGCAGAACGAATCAATTATTAGGTGGTCAGAGGCTAATATGAAGTAAAATAAGGGCTACAGAGATGAGGTTAATTAGAATAATGTCCCAGAGAAAAATGACTCAAAGATCTAGAGAAAATGTCTTAACAGGCACATCCAACTGAAGATAGAAGAATGGCAATTAAGTGGTTGTCCTTGTTCCTAATCAAATTGGGACACACTTTTATTTCCCATAGCTCTTGTATTAGCAAAAAGAAAGCATTTTCAGAAGTCTAGTAAGATCAAGCAGGGCCTATTACATAGCATTGAGGTATAAAGGCTTGACATGCAGTCCCAGAGCGAAAAATTTGTGTGAAAACAAAACAATGTCTGCAAGTCAATACCCCAAGAATATGTGGGCACGAGGAAGTCTGCACGGCATAGTGACTAAGAACCAGGGTAGAGCCAGGGGTGGTGGCTTACACCTGTAATCCCAGCATTTTGGGAGGCTGAGGTGGGTGGACCACCTGAAGTCGGGAGTTAGAGACCAGGCTGGCCAACATGGCAAAACCCCCTCTCTGCTAAAAATACAAAAATTAGGCATAGTGGCTCACGCCTGTAATCCCAGTACTTTGGGAGGCAGAGGTGGGTGGATCACAAGGTCAGGAGTTCGAGACTATCCTGGCCAACAGGGTGAAACCCCATCTCTACTAAAATACAAAAAACATACAGGCATGGTAGTGCACGCCTGTATTCCTAGCTACTCGGGAGGCTGAGGCAGAATTGTTTGAAACCAGGAGGAGGAGGCTGCAGTGAGCCAAGATCACACCACTATACTGCAACTCCAGCCTGAGTGACAGAGCAAGACTCTATCTCAAAAAAAAATTTTTATATATAATATATAATATATATATTATATATTATATATGTATATAATATATATTTTACAGGTGAAGAAACTGAAGAATAGTGAGTTACATGACTCATCCAGAACCCTCTACCTCTATGGAGCAAAGCCAGGATTTGAAACTAGCAACTCCTTCCCGTCGTACCCGTTTTTTTTGTTTTGTTTTGTTTTGGTTTTGGTTTTTGAGATGGAGTTTAACTCTGTCGCTCGGGCTGGAGTTGACAGCCAAGATCACACTACTGCACTCCAACTCCAGCCTGGGTGACAGAGTGAGACTCCATCTCAAAAACAAAAAAACCAAACAAACCAAAACAAAACAAAACAAAAAGCCAGGGTACAAGGGGAAGGAGTTCCTAGTTTCAAATCCTAGCTTTGCTCCATATAAGTAGAGCGGTCTGGGTGAATCATGTAACTCACTATTCTTCAGTTTCCTCATCTGTAAAATTAATTTTTAGAATGGGGATTACTTCACAGAGTTATTGTGAGTTAATAAATATCAAGGGCTTAGAATCATGTCTGGCACACAGTAAATCCCCAGTAAAGGTAGCTCTTTATACAATACACCTTTCACAAGCTAGAGTGTTTCTCTTAACTACTTTTTATTGAGATTTTTCAGGATTAGATTTTTCATGAGTTTAGAAAATTCTCCTTCCACCTCTCCCTCCTTAAGTATGCAGAGTATTGGTAATAGCATGACATGGAAGTTTTTCTAGGTACATACATTTAGATACACCTAAGAAGGTCTAAGCACCAATTACTCTAGGAGTAGAATCCCAAAGAAACTGCCATGTTTAGGAAGTGGATCAGGAGTAGGAGACTATTCTGTGTCACCATTAATGAATGACTGGGGACAGATGTGGACAAAGACAAGACACAGGCCCTCTTGATTGGAATACCCAGGGTAAAACGTTGACTGATCCACTAGCAAAGCTGTTGAGAAATTCAGCCCCAGTACATCTTAACCAGAGTCACCTGGCACCGAGAGACTGTTGAACCAAACCGGACTCAGACGATGCAGCAAAATTCCAAAACACTGAAGAAAAAAAACCCTCAAAAAGCTCCTAATATTTCCCGTTGATTCTCAGGCACCAGGGTATTGAGAAGAGGGCAGCACGAGGGCTGATCTAGGCCCTCAAGCATCCCACGTAAACTGCCTGGTCAAGTCTCAAATTACACAGATCTGTTTCCCCTGTCATGAATTATTATTTTAGTTTCTGAAATGATATTTGGAGAGAGGGGTGTTATATATTTTTAGAGATGCAAAAAAATCTGGGTGTTAGCCTCTCTGAGGGTTATCATGAGTCTAACCAATGTTTTGTTTTTTTTTTTATTTAATCACTTACACTTGGACTGATATTCACTGGATTTCATCTTTTCCTTTCCTAAAAGGGTATTAGTAACCACGTTTGATGCCGTAAACTATATATTAATCACATCCTTTTATTTTTAGGTTGCAAGAGTACACGTTATGAATTAATAAAAAACAGCGATTTTAATTTCCTAGATAACTCTAGTCGCTCCATAAGTCATGTAAATAAGAGTATATGATTTGACAGATTTCATTCTTTTCCACCAAAAAGTCCTGTGATACAGAGTGAGACAGGTCCCTCTCTCTGCTTCAGCTTTTACCTAACAAATTCACAATGAACAACACATGTCAACCACTGACATGGTACAACAATATAGCAAAAATAATAGATCATCTTCTTCAAGCAGGTGGAAGAAGTCAGTGTTAACAACGAAAGATATTTAGATCTAACTCCTTTCAGACTATATAGACTTGGTTTTCTATCAAAAGAGAAGTTATGCGAATTTTCAGGACAGAAGTATCACGTGTACATTTTTTTAAAAAGAAAAGAGAATTTACCAGAAATTTAGGATGCCCTCTATTGCAAGGCAGGAGATCAAACCAGCTCTGATTAACTTAAAGGCAAAACATAGCCCCAGCAAGATGGCGTACAGACACTGCAGCAACCCAAACTCTGAATTTCCATGGTTTTCGGGATGTAGGCCAGGCTCCAGACACTGAGCCATCTCAGTGCTTGAGGTTTCTAGCATGTGTTACCTGAGACAGGTCATGGACATCCAACAGTCAATACATCAACAAATATAAAGCAGACTATCTCACTGCTTGCTAATTCTGTACTTTTTAAAGTTAATTCAGTACATGAAACATGAACGAATATAATCAGGAATCAGGTTCTATGCCATCTTTGCCACCTCTAAAATGAACATTACAGGAAAGCGCAAGATAAGTTTTATCAGTGGAGATCCCCGGAGCCTTTGTGGATCCTCCTAAATTAACAGCACTGTTATTCTGTTCCAGACCCTGTGCTAAGCACTTTATACGTACCATCTAATCGAATGCTTGCAATAGCTCAGTGAGCTAGGTGATGCTATTACCCCTGCCTCAAAGAAGTAAACTGAGTCCTAGAGAAAGAAAACAATCTGTCCAAAAAAAAAAAAAAAAAAAAAGAGCCAGTGATGAGAGTGCTGAGGTTTGAGCTTGGATCTTAACATCCTTAATCAATTTGGACCACCCACAATATGCTGCAGGCCCAAATGGCAAACAATTCTGTCTTCATGGGGAAGATGCTGTATATAACCCCTTCTGGACAGGACATGCAGTGTATGCAGTACATAGTGGAAACTTTCCACAGAAAACCCAAGGGCAGTATTCTATTCCTACGATAAAGGTGATGTGCATAGGGTTTGTTCCTTCTCTTCCTCCCTCACCCAGATACAGTCCTCTTAGGTACCACAAAAATACAGAAAGTCACAGGGAAATCCCCAAACAGACTCTGATTCAACAAATACCGACTACATGCATACCTACCATAGGTTAGGCACTGCTAGCCATGGAGAAGCCACACTGAATAAGACCGCCTTCTTGCTTAATATCTAATAAACAGGTGAATTCATGAAGGGACACAGCTGTAATATACGGAACAAACAAGAGGTTTGGATCAAGAAAAATAACAAAGGGGATGTCCCCTTTCACATGGGTAGTCAGCAAAGGCATGTTCAAGGAGTTGATTTTTGAATTGAACACTAAGGGATGAGAAGCAATGAATGCTGGGAGCCACAGAAGTTATCCCGTGGTTCAGAGGCAAGGAAGTTTTTCATGGCATCTGAGAAGAGTAATGGGGTTTAAATAAAATATTGGAAACCGTATCAAAAGCTCAAAGTTTCCAAAAGTCTTCTGAACATGCAAGATCTTCAAGCCACTGTCTCTACCCAGTGAACAAGATGGAAGCAAAGCCTATGTCAGGCAGACCCTCAGTAAGTACTAATACAGGCTGGCGTCTGTCCCCTCAAAACCATCAATTCTGTGATACGGTGTCAATGGTTAACAAATTATTAAGGTTAATGAATGCTAATGAATTGTTATTACAGGTGGTGTGACTCTTACCCATCTCACCTAACAGGGCTCAAAAACTCAAGAGAGAGCCAGGGTCACGTGGCTGGCACTGTTTTTCAATCTGGGTATAAGTCTCCAACTGTGTCACCCAGCAGCACTGCTGACAATCTTTGCCCCCATTATGTGGCAGCTTCTGTGCACAGATGACACAGTTCTTTGAGGGCCATTCCCAAGAAGATCTGTGGGGGACTAGGACCTGCTTTGCCCAGTCAGCACAGAGGCAGGGACAGGGGATGAGGTGGCAGAAGATCGATACCATGTCACATCAGCCTGCACGAGCGAAACCCTACAGTTTCAGATTATCATCAGCAATACCAACTTGAAAGCAGTTAGTGAATTCTGCTTGCGAGGCAGGCCCATTTCTGACTAAGTTAAAAAAAGGAATAAAAAAAAGAACTGCATGCTTCTCAGGGGAAATCCTCAAAACAGGACCCAGAGACCTAAGCTCTGCTAACAGGGCTAGACCAGCTGCATACACAGCTACATGTGTCCTTGAAGATGTGCATCGGGAAAACTACCCAAGGCTCTACTTGAATTTACAAGGCAATACCAGGTGAGGAGCAACGGACTGCAAAACTCGTGTCATCTATCAGTGAAACAATGACCAGTGAACCAGCAACAGGATGGTCCAAGCTTGTCGGAGACAGGGATTTCCACTGTATCAACTGGGCTGCCTAGCACAACGCTGGCATTTATGATGTACCAGGATCTGTGCTAAGCTCTTTAAAAGCAGCACCTCTCTAACTCTTCATAGTGAGCTGGCTTCTATTTTTAACCCCTTTTCCAGATAAGGAGGCCGTGGCACAGAAAGGTTAAGTAACTTGCTTAGGGTTGTTGAGCCAGGAAGTGGAAGAGGTGGAATCTGAGTCTAAGCCGATCTAACTTCAAAGCACACACTCTTAACCATGCTGCTATCCTGTATCCACAGCAGGCATCCAGGGAGTGTCTGCAAATACATTCATTACCCTAAGTTTTATGACTACTCGTCACAGGATGGTATAGGCAGACAATATGTTATTAATACAAAGTAGAGGGAAGTCTCATTCTATTCATTTTACAGGATAAAAATTTTCACAGGAATCACGTGCAGGCCAATTTGGGATAGAAAATTTGGACGGGAGTGGCTTACTTGTCCCGTGAACTCCACTTCCAGGGTAAGCTTTCAGCAGAGACACAAGGAGCAACAAATCTCAGAAACATAGCGTGGAGAGTTCTGTCCTGCCCTCGAGTCTACATAAGCACAGAGGGACAGTGCAAAGCTGCCAGCAACATGCCCTGCACATCTAGGGGAGCAGAACTGGGCATGAGTGCATGTTGCTAAGACCTCGCACTAGTACTCAAGCCTTACTGAAATCTTACATCTGCGGGCAGGAGGACCCACTAGACTAGCATATTCTAGAGTTTAAATTTTGCTTTATAGCTCCCTTAATAAAGAAATTTATTTCTCAGATCTGCCAAGGCACTTTCAGTAAGAATACTATGGTCCTAAAATATTTACTGAGCTGTATCTCTGCTAAGAATTAAAAAGGCTAAAATTCTAACATGTAAAATTCAAACAAGGCACAGTCAACAGAAGACATTCACTGAAAATAAGTAAAAATTAAACATGTAGCAAAACTGACAGCATTATTTTGTATAAGTAACCACAATGTTTGCTCAGTAAGCATTTGCCTTTTCTTAGTATTAGAACCCAGAATTTATCTGGGACATCAAAGTTTAAGGATGCATTTCCCAGATACCTTTATAGTTAGGGGTGGCTAATATGATGTAAGCAGGCATCACTGGATAAGGCTGCAGGGAAGGTGCTTTGAAAAGGCCTGCCTCAGCCAGGAAAACTACTCTTTGTCTCCTCCTTTCAGGATGCAGAGGCAATGGCCTGACAGCCAGCAGCCACCATGTGACCTTGAAGATGAAGGAACACAACTGAATAAGCAGAGCAGAAAGACAGAAGGCACAAACTGCTCTTCCCAGACGTTTTTACAAGAGAGAATAATTAAATAATTTTTATACTTACATCTTCCTTATTAGAAAACAATTCTTAACTAACATAATAATATGAAAATGTATCTAAAGATGACACTACAATTTTCTCTGAGGGAAACTAGAAAATTCATGAATTGGGATTCTGATTAACCCTCTATTCCCAAAGCTGTTTGTTTAAGTATGACTTTCCTCCTTAATTAGTACTGCTAGCCCAGGGAAGCATATTTGCTGAGCCTGTCTCTCTGTTTTGACATGCAGGACTTGTGAAATTCAAACATACTTGTAGGCATCCAAAGCATTATTATTTATTAAGGCCTATATTAAAGGTGAGATCTTACAGCACTCTCAGATTCTGATGATTAAAGGAAATTTAATCGTTCTTCATTGGCATTTGATCTTTTGCCTACCATAATCTACCTGCATATCCCTTCATCCATATTTGATACTAAAAAAAAAGACATTTCAACAGCTTGTCCATCAACTGTAAAATAGAAGGAACGTACAGACAAACCACATTACTCAGAAAATATGAGAGCTTTCCCCCATACTCATTTCGCTCATGAAAGCCCAACGTGATTAAAAAGGTGAAGAAGTCATACTCCACGAGGTGAACCAGAATGACTGTAGAGCCTATCATCACATTCATAAGGAGTTTCGACATTTTCAAAGTGCTTTCACATGCATTATATCTTGTTTCATCCTTACAACACCATCTTTCAAGGTAGTAAGGGCAGGTATTTTTTTTTTAATTCCTGTTTTTCGCAGACAAATGGTTTGCTCAAGGTCAGGTGGAGTGGTACCCAGCGAGGTGTCAGGTTTACAGGTCAAATGTCCCTCTTTGATGCATCAAATCAAGGGACAGCCTACTATAGCTTTCAGGCCAAAATATGGCTTACTGTCTGTTTTCATAAATAAAGTCTCACTGGAGCACAGTGACACTCATTTGCTTGTGTATCATCTACGGCTACTTTCGTGCTCTAAAGGCAGAGTTGGCTAGTTGCAAAAGAGACCGTATGGCTCATGACGATGACAGTATTTATTATCCAGTCCTTTACAAATTTTGCCAATCCCTGCATTAGGTCATCTCCCCACAAATATGATCCAAGTTATGAACCCGGTTCATAAAAACCATAAAGCCATCATGGGGCAGGGTGGGGTGGGGTGGGGGTAACAGCATTCAAATGCCTGCTAGCTTCAGAATCAGGGCCTGATAATTAGAGAGCCCATCATCTTCTGCAGGATTACTGTATCGACCACTGGGTCTTTTGCAAAGGTAGATGGCAATTTTTCGGTGGTATACTGCATCAGTGGTGTCTGTTACTTACCCTGAAGTTTTATTGTGTCTCACAGCCATAAAAAGCCTGGGGTCACTGGGAGGGAGCATGCATGATGCCACAGGACTGCAACTCACGGAGGGAAGCTGAAAGCAAAAAGAAAAGAAGAGGTTAAGTGAAGGGGCAAAATGTGATGCTTCAAAAGCAAGACAGACACACGAGCCCTCGGTATCCCCTGTTTACACACCACATTGACCTTCAGCGTATAATCATGTATCTAAGCATCCATTTTATCCTTGGCCTTCTAGAATCAGCGTTCGACCTAGTTCACAATCTGAATTACAGGAGGAAGATGCAAAATGTTCCGTAGGTAAAACTGTCACTCTTGAAGGCACTGACATCCACTTAGGAAGTTTAGTTCCTTTAACTTCCATACCATAATTTCTTTTCTCTTTCTTTTTTTTTTTTTTATTCTGAGACAGGATCTTGCTCTGTCACCTAGGCTGCAGTGCAGTGACACATTCAGGGCTCACTGAAGCCTCAACTTCCCAGACTCAAGTGCTCCCAAGTAGCTAGAACTACAGGCATGCCCCACCATGCCCAAATAATTTTGGAATTTTAGTAGGCAGGCTGGTCTCAAACTCCTGAGCTCAAGTGATTCTCCTGCCCCAGTCTCCAAAGTGCTACAATTACAGGCGTGAGCCATGACTCCCAGCCCTAATTTCTTTCTTTCCCTCTCCCGCTCCCTCCCCCTTCCCTCCTTTCTTTTTCAGACAGAGTCTCGTTCTATCACCCAGGTTGGAGGACTGCAGTGGCACCATCTTGGCTCACGGCAACCTCCACCTCCAGGGTTAAAGCACTTCTCCTGCCTTGGCCTCCCAAGTAGCTGGGATTACAGGTGTCTGCCACTGTGCCTGGCTAATTTTTGTATTTTTAGTAGAGATGAGGTTTCACGATGTTGGCCAGGCTGGTCTCAAATTTTATCCTCAATGATCCGCCTGCCTTGGCCTCCCAAAGTACTGGGACTATAGGTATAAGCCACTGTGCCTGGCTTATAATTTCTCATTTCTTTCTTTCTTTCTCTTTTTTTTGAGACAGAGTTTCGCTCTGGTTACCCAGGCTGGAGTGCAATGGCGCCATCTCGGCTCACCGCAACCTCCGCTTCCTGGGTTCAAGCAATTCTCTTGCCTCAGCCTCCTGAGTAGCTGGGACTACAGGCACGCGCCACCATGCCCAGCTAATTTTTTGTATTTTTAGTAGAGACGGGGTTTCACCATGTTGACCAGGATGGTCTCGATATTTCGACCTCGTGATCCACCCGCCTCGGCCTCCCAAAGTGCTGGGATTACAGGCTTGAGCCACCACGCCCGGCCAATTTCTCATTTCTTAAGATAAATTTTGAGAAATGAGAAAAAGAAGATCCATAGGTCCAAATGGTAATATTGCTATGAGTTTTCATCATTTAGTCTGTCTCAATGCATCCAGTAGAAGAGAAAGGAGGCGATAAATACATCCATGGACACAGACACCCCCCAACAAAACAGACAAGCTCTCTCCTGCCAGCCAAACAGAAAATCTTACTTGCCACCGTTAGCAAGTAACTCTTTTTTTTAGTTGCATTTCAAATGCAGAAGAAGACTGTGATACAGCCTTCTCATGGAAATAGTCACTCTGTTCATGTGCTGAGACTGCAAGCTTTCAGAGTTTGGTTGGGTTATTAGTAGAATATTTACCAAATCCAATTCCAAATAAGTTGTTGCTGACAGATAAGTCAACTCATCCTCAAGCACTTTCAGAAAGTTTTTGCTAATAGCTGTCAGTAGGAAGGTTTCACATGCCAGGTCTTTTTTGCATAGATCCTTGAGATAATAATGCCATCTATATGGCCCTCAAGATTACATAAAGGACTCTCACTAATACAGAAAAAAAAAAAAACAGAACTATAGAGTGGGTAGAAAGCCTGAGCATCAGGGGCATGTACGTGTACGTCTGTGTGCAGTGTTCTCTTTCAAGAGTAAATTCAGGCGATACTCTGTGAATGTACATGTTTTTCACCTACTCAGATGGAGAAGTTGAAACTAAAAAGGAGACACATGAAGTTTTGTGATTTGAATAGTCACCTGTCTCCGGAAGCAATGTGGGTTGTCTGCCTACCAGAACTCAGAAGAGAGTTAAGAGATGGTGTTCCCAGTGGGTGTCTCTTCTAGATATGAGATAACCCCAAGCCAGATTTGTCCACCCTATGTTTTCTAGGTATCTGGTGTCTACTGTGCAGAAACTGTTCGCCAAATACATCATGGCTTAAGAATCTATGAGTTTAATGTGCTGTGTTGGCATTTTCCCTCTTGAGCAAGGAAGCTTAAGAGTATGATAAGAATGCATCAAAAATATTTTTAAGATAATTTCAGTTGGCAAAGGCTGTAATCGTTCAAACTTAATTGGTGAACTCATTAATGAGCAACTGCCATGAAGAGAAAGAGGACCATTGTCATCGACTTATCACGGCAATGAGATAACGAAGTTAATTATATTGTTTTCAATGGATTTACACTGGCTGCCTTTTAGATTCTACATTTCCAAACATTTGTTCTGACACCCCATGTGTTTGCCGTCTTAACAAAAAACCATGAGCTGTGGACTCCTCCAGGAAAAGTCGGCAGATCAGAGCCCTCGCATCCAGGCAAAGCAACTGGAAAACTTCTCTCCCCTTTATTATCTACTTGTAAAATGTTATAAGCCTGTAAACTAGTTAATTTATGAGCCATGTTAATAATTTGCTCACACTGGATCGCAGGTTTGGCAAACACAGTTTCCAAGGGATGTGGGAGGATAATTTGTACATCCAGCTTCTCTCCTAAGGGGACACTAACTAATTTGACACAGTAACATGACATTGATGGCGGGGCACACTAATGACCATTCTCCAAGACGGGGCTGTCAGCCTGTCGTTCCAGTGAGAAGCCAGTCTGCTTTCACGGCTGCTCAGGACTGGATGCTCAACTAATTATTCAGACAGCGACATTAATGAGAGCCCTCATGTTTATTTTCAACATACTAACCAACGCTTAGCTACCATTTGTCTGATATGGTCACTGATTAAAATGTGTTTCATGAATAGTAAATTCGAACTCTAATATAACAAAGAAGCATGGGAGAAAAATAAGGAACAGCTGACTGGAAAACCAACCTGGTCTACACAACTTGTTTTCTGCCTCACATATCGTCAAGGACAAAGTGACAGGTAGTAGGAAATGCGGTGAATTCCCAGAAAAGTGAGAGGAATATTTTGAATTACACACGTCCGTGGGCAAGTCTGACTTTTGACCAAGGCCACAGGACACAATATGGTCGAGAGCAGCTTCCACCTCAAATAAACTTTACTAAACTTTATGATACTGAATGAAAATCTGAGTTTTATTATTTATTTTTTGAGACAGGGTCTCACTCTGCCACTCACGCTGGAGTACAGTGGCATGATCTCAGCCAACTGCAGCCTCAACCTCCCGGGCTGAAGTCATCCTCTCACCTCAGCCTCCCAAGTAGCTGAAACTACAGGCAGGTGTCACTATGTCTGGCTAATTTTTGTCTTTTTTGTACAGATAGTGTCTCATTGTGATGCCCAGGCTGGGCTCAAACTCCTGGCCTCAAGCAAACCACCTGCCTTGGTTTCCCAAAGTGCTGGGACTACAGGCATGAGCCACCATGCCCAGCCTGAATGAAGATATTTAAACTTAGTTTTGTGTGTGTGTGTGTGTGTTTTTTTTTTTTTTTTTTTTTTTTTTCAGAAAATGACCAAAATTTGCTTAAATGTGGTTTTTGAACCTTACAAAAGTTTGATCTTTGATTAGTCTATAGTAAGATCTTCACAAACATTAATAATTGCTATTGTATTTTTTCCAAATCAATTGCAAAACCATATGGCTAAGGTTTTTTAAAAAGTGCTTTTTAAAATCTTCTTTTGTCTTGTTTCTAGTCTACTAAACCTTGTAATCAAGTTCTTTGTGCTTTAAATTAAATTTCTATTTTGGTATGATAAATTTTGTCCTTCATTTTAGGGTGATTATAATCCTAAAATATTCATATAATCGCAATTTAAAATGAATAACTCAAAAAAAAGGTGTGCTTAGATCTATTAAAGGTGTTAAAAATTGAAAATGCTTCTGATATAGTTCATCGTAAAATGTGCAACTCGAAATAAATAGCAGTGGTAGTATTTCAACAGATGTTCTATCTGCCATCACGAATAAAGAATTCTACTCAATATTGTGTATGACTTCTGATTTTATAAAACAACAAAATAAATATGAGTTCATGTAGATCACTTTGGGAAGGAAAATGTCACTGCACGCAACATTTCTTAAGTATGTATTTCTAAACTTACTCACTTTGAGATAGATCTGTAATTTTAGAACGCCAAAATGCCTAAATGGCACACAACATGTGGGAAGCAGATTCAGATTGCAGGCTAATTTTTAAATATATTTAAACAAGTATCCAGACAAACTATTCCAAACCAGCACGACTGTCTAAATGCTGTCCTTCCCCGGGGACTTGCTGCAGACAGGTTCTCAGATTAGCAGCACCTCTGGGCAGTTTATGTATGGTAAGCATTTGTCCTCCAAAATAATATAAGAAAATGTGGTCAGTCTGTGGCAGAGACTGGCTAACCGTTCATCAAATCCGTTTCTTTTTCCTGAACACACAGCTGGAATGCATTTCCCAGCATCCCTTGTAGTTGGGTGGGGCCTAGTAACTGAATTCTAACCAAATGGATGGAAGTGGGTATACACTCCTTTCATTCAGATCCTGAAGCCTCTGACACCATCCCTAAATCCTGCTTTCTTCCCTGGATTGTGGGTCCAGGGAATTAGTGGACAACTCCTAGTTCCCGGAGAGAGTGGAGTCACGGGATGGAATCTGCCTGGGTCCCTGAAAGACCACGTGGAGCTGAGCTACCACTGCTCCTGACCCCTCAACCAGCACTAGATGGTGAGGCGCTCAAGATTTAAATGCACTAAGTTAAGCCTTTGAGATTCTGGAATGTTGGTAACAGCTGCTAGTATCTCTTACCCAAATACACGGACCTTTCCAGTTTCTTCCTAGCTTTTACTTGAGTCTCCAGGTAACCCTAAGTAAACAGCTCTGT